AGAGTAAATTTAGAGTAATTCGGCAACACGTGTTAGATCAGAGCATCATTTCAATCGATCGATCGATCGATCGATAAAACATTTCTATGCTCTTGTGGTGGTGGTCTTCATACAACGTTATCTATTATTTATTTCAATGTTTTCCTCTTCGACTTATATTTGTAATGAAATATGTTGCGCGAACAAGATTCATCCCTAAGGTGATTTTTTCTTTCTTAGGTTATACGGGGTTCCACCTTTTTCTATTTTTAAATATTTTTACCATTAAAAATTCATTGAACTTTATTATTATTAAGAAATTAAACTTTTTTTTTTTTTTTTTTTTGTACCTACGGAATACATATGTCATATTTATTGTGATTTGTTGTTGGCATGTTTTTTCTTGTTGTTCTCGCTTTTTTTTTTTTTTTTTGTTATTTTTTTCAGTTGTTTTTCTCAGTGCTGCTTTTACTTAATTTAATTGATTCGATAACCTTTACGGTTTCTGACTCGTTTCGTATCTTTTTTTAACATAATTTTTTTTTAAAAGCTGTTTAAGTCAAGTACCAGGTTGGCACTTGAGAGTAAAATGCAAGTTTGTTATTCGGCAAAATATTCGGAAGATGTATAAACATACATATAAATATATTTATAAATATATGTTTGCTAAGATTGAGATTCGGGTAATACTTTACCTTTGTTTTTAAATGTATTCATTAGATTACGTTCAACTGCAACGACAAGCTTAATAATCACAATCTAAGCCTTCGCTTAAAACGGCAACCAGAAGTCTTACGTCAATTAGATCAATTACTCCTGCATTGTTTCCACTGGCAACGTCATTTTGACTTGTGTTTATTTTTTAACGAAAGATTTAGCTGCTGCTGGTGTCCATTACCATAACTTTTTAATATCTAACTAGTAGCTCGACTTTGCCTAATTTGTACTTAAAAGACATCTTCAATTGATAATCAGTATAATTTCAATTTCCTACTTAACCTCACTTTTGGCTTTTTGCATCTAAAACGTTCATTAGATATTTATTTTGACCCAATTCAATGTTATTTCATTTGCAAGTTTTGTAAAATATTGAAAATAACCACCTCTTTATTATTATACCTTCTCTTCCATAGAGGGATGTGGTTGTATTCAGTTTGTCAAAACGCGTGCAACATCCAAAAAGAGACATCATAGAGCCCAAGAAGTTTATATATTCGTGGTCACCGTCAAATTTTGAACCAATTGAAGCATGTTCGTTCGTCTGTCCGTCTTTCTGTCTGTATTACATACTCCTGTGGTAAATAATCTACTGGTGGCAAAGAAGAAGCTATCGGAACTCGTTGCACATTCGTTGATATTGAATACCGATCAAATCGGCTGAAGCCCATAGTTTACCGTAAACTGTGACCACTTTTGCTTTCAAAAACTAAAACAAAAATTTTCGTTTTTTTTTTTTTTTGCATTGAGCATATTCCATCGACGACTCTTACAGCACCTAAAGAAACATAAACAAAATCGGCTCGGCCACCCACTATTATAGAGTATCGAAATTTTTCTTTTTCTTTTTGTGTTCTTTCTTTTAGTACAAAGGTGATGCGTATAAAATATTCGACCGCGACCGAATATAATATCCTTAGTTGTCTTATTTGTAAATGGTGAAGATTGGCTAAACCGCTGCATTTTCAACTGGTTGCGGAACAGCTTGACATCGAACCTTTTAAATATAGACACTTAGTTTTCTCCCCTTAGTCTACTTAACATGCATAGCCGCACGCTTGTGTTTATTATAAACCAGTTTCAGGTTTAAATATGTTATACTTCCCATATGAAATAGTTGCTCGCTGTGATTAATGCTCCTCAATTTATCTCTTGTGTAATAATCAAAAAAAAAAAAATGAAACATGTAGGAATTTTGTTGTTATAAAAACGCACGTAGAACTGCATGTCCAGACAGACATACGTATGCGGTTTTAAAAGCATCCCAAAGTCAAATCTATTAATCTTCAATATCTACAATTTTTCCCAGACCTTTCATGACAACAAAATGTTTACAATTTCATCCCTCATTAAGCGAGGTTAATAGATATACAATTAGGGAGAGGGGGGAGGTATATATCGAATTTTTCAAATTCGTGGCAGTGGACACTTTACACATATGTTTTATAATTTTCCGATTTTCATAGGCTTTCTAATGGGCGCATTATCGTACGGATTTATGTTAAGTGATTTATGTGAACCAAAAATACGCCGAAAAGCCCTAAAGTACATCTACGAAGCATTACCAATTAAATGATGAAAGTTAATTGATAATAAAAAAGAAGTAACATTGTAGTCGAATAAATAAAAAAACTAGCAAATCGAATATTTGAGTACTCAGCACCACCAAAAACATTTCCCAACTGACTAAACGCAAAGCAATGTATATACCAGATGGAACATTATTTCGCTAGCAATATTTCCGTAACAAAATTATTATAAGGTGATTCACGTCCCGAATATTGAACGAACTCAAAAAGTTGGCTGTTTTTAAATCTTTTTCATCACCATACAGCCAATCTTAAAATTTCACTCTTTGCTATTATCGTAAATATTTCTGTTTCTCACGTTCTTTAATAGATACGAAACTAGATGAAGAATCACTTTTGAAAAAAATATGAAGATTGCAGTAAAATATTCGTGTTTAAGATGGAGACTGAGAAAAGTTTTTCGCAAACACGATAGAAATCGCGATAATGCGTTTGTTTCGGATTTCCTGTTGGTCTGAAAAATGTTAGAGGACAAAAAAAAAACCCGGTTGATTTGCTGTGAATGGATGTCTGTTTTTAACATTGAGTTGGAAACTTCGATATATTGAAACGATAAAAAAGATGTTGGGCTCGCGTTATAAGAAAGAAGCAGAAATGCTCTTGGAGACTATTTATACAATTTTTATCTAAATGCTATGGGATTTTTGAACGAAGTTTTGAGATTGCAAACCGTTTAGTTGATTATTAAACTTGGATAAATTAGGCAAAGTTTGGAATTGAAATATATTTCAAAATATCTGCGATAAGACATGTTTGAATTCAATCTAATCATTCACGCGGGCCACAACAATATGTAATTTATAGCGTTTTCGGTGTAAGATGGTTAGGAGAAGGTATCGAAAATATTACGCAAATTTAACATTTTGAGGGCACAAGAAAGGGAAAAACACCCATCTCGATGCATTTGGTGAACCATTTACTGCTGTCTATATACCATTCACTTTAAGTAGATGCTACTAGAGCATGCTCTGTTGCTACACACTTTGAATACTTATCGTAAACAGTGCATATTATAAGTATATACCGATAGTAACGCCATAAGAAGCAGACAGTAACAATGTTTAACAACAACTACATCGTACATTTCAACTTATGCTTAAAGTTTATAGTATGTATAGTAATGTGCTGCGTCTCTCTACATTTTTTTTGTTTTTTTTTTTTTTTTTTTTTTTAATTTATTTTTTTCCTTTTTTTTTTCGTTTCATGAATGTAGTAAGCAAAAAAAAAACGTCAATATGTTGCAAGAAAAAAAGAAAACGAATAAAAGCAAAATTTACACATGCATGCATACCTGACTATGGATTCATTATAGGTACATTAGAACACTACCGACCCCTAATTTTCTGTACTCTATTTTTTTGCATATAAAAAGGAAAAACGCGATTTGACAAATGAAACATTCCATTGAGAGCAAATAATACAAAGAGAGAACTCATTTACTCTCTTTTTGTCATTAAAGAATAAATCGAAGAAGACCTTGTTTTGCCTGTTTTGACATCTTTATCTGTTCGAATGTATTTAGTGTCGTGTTGTTTGGAAATGTTATAGTGAATTTTATTATGTAAATTTATTAACTTTACCAGCTTGTTTATAAATTGCCTTGACGTTTATTATGGTTTTACCATTTTATTAAGGAGAGGTTGGTATAAGTGCTCCGATTATTCTTTGTCGTTGTTATTAAGATAAAATTTTGACGGGGAAACAGCTGGTATCAAGAACTAGAATTACAAAAAAAGGTGACCAACGATTAAACAAATTTTAACGAGTGAATTAAAGGCAAAAATAAATGAAAAATTACTTCGTATTCAATTCTCTGCAGCAATTACAATCACAAGTAGTTGGTAGTTCGTAAATATGTTTGTTTTGTCTCGTAATGCAGAGATAACACATCCTGGTTTTGTTTTTTTAATCAATCTGATTAAAAATAAAAACTCATTCCACAACTTTTTTCATGGTTTACTTAAATATTTTGCTTTTTTTCGTATCATTTAAATTTTGCTTTCATTTTTTTGCACATATAAGCACATATATATATGTGTATACCATAGGAAAAGATTGCTCTTTTATTTATACACTAATAAAGCAAAGCAGCAAAAATAACGAACATTTCAAGAGAGTAACAAAGTGACAATAAAGCGAGAGAATGAGAAGCATATAGCGAAGGTTTTTATAGATTCTACTTCAGTTTTAATGCCAAGTAGTGTATCATATGTTTAGTAGTGGTAACGTAGTGGTGGTATTGAGGTGGTTTTTGTGTTGCTGTTGACTTGCAATGATAAGAAATTGAATTGTCATAATTAAAAGTCGCATCAAAATATCTAAACTAATACAATTTTGGTTATTTGTTCCTCGAACCTAAGAAAGTAAAAGAAAAAGTGAAATAATATAACAGCGAATAAAATATAATAATTCTAATAAACACAATGGTATGATAAGTGCTCGTCGTTTTAACAATTCGAGCAAAGTAACGATCATTAGTCGTAAAAGAAAACAGCTGAGTATTTAGTAACTCGTTATACTTGTTTTTGCGTATATGTGTTTATTAAAAAACGAGTATGAGATAACAGTCGTTACAAAAGAGAAGACAACGACAACCAAAGAAATGAAAACGACACAATATGGGAAATTAATTGGAAGAGAAATTCCGACAGAAGAAAAGTAATTTTAATACTTCGATTCGAAAAAAAACATTTATATATGTTTCATTCCGAAAAGTTTTAGAAAACGCGCCCGCGTTAAAACAAATATATTTGTACAATTTTGTGTTAATATTTCAAGAAAAAAAAAGCAATTCACGCCACAATTTTGATCTAAAATTCAACAAAATTAAAAGAACGTCACTGAAATACTTTGAAAAATTTTGTAGATAACGCAACCACAATAACAAATCCCTTCAGCTACAGCGTTCAATTAAATTTATAGAAGAGTGAGTGCGAAAGAGAGAGAAACACAGAGAACAGAACAGTTAAAAACATTATATATTTGGAAAGAAAATTAACGAAATTCATAATAAAAGAATCAACCAATATATAACAAGGAGATTATTTATAAATATCTGCACAATTACAAAGAGTGAGCATAAATTTAATTAATAAGAATTACTGTTTAACATAAATAACTCTCGAAATACTCAAGTCAAGTAATTATGTATAAATAATTTTTTGAAAGTGAATTGGCAAATTATTGTAATATAAACTAAGGTTATTTCACCTATCTTTACTGATTGCTTTAGTAAATGTGACGAAAGAAATTTCCAAAATACTTGTGGCCCCTGTTGCCCAATGAACATCAATTCAAAAAACGCTTTCTTTTGTTTGTGTACTTTGGTACTTGGTACGCTAGAAGTAGTAAACATAGACAGTTAAAATAGACAAAATTTATGCAGTAAACATGCTTAAAATAAACGAATTCCTTTGCCAATATTTAATAACAAGAATATTGTATCATCAGAACTATCATTTAAATGCTTTTATTGTGTTGTGCTTCTTGCAAGTATTGACTTAAATTAAATATGTGTTGTACTGACATCTGTATATATTGCATTAGTCAATAATGTAAACTTGACGTAGAAAGAATATTTACATTTATAGGTTCAAAATAAACAGAAGAGAACTTAAATATTGTCCGCATATATATACCAACAAAATATATACTTTAGAGGTCCGTATATATCCATATATACTTATGGCTGCTTTCTTGTTTTCGAAAACTTTGAAATCAAATTTATTATTGACAGCACGGTGTTTTCGAGATATTTTATCTGTCGTCAGTAATAAACTAGTACATATCCTAGTACACCTAATGTTGCTTACTCTCAGATAAACTTATTTATGCATATCCGCGTATACCGACCGACCAATAAAAATTTAAATAACATTAAAATATTATGACGAAATGTTTAAACCTGAAAAAAACCTTGTCAGAGAACAAACCAATCAGGAGAGTTTGAAGTGTGAGAAAAAAGAGAGCACGATAAACAACAAAATTTTAATTTAAGTCAAATCTACGAGATAGCGAACCGTTAGTTTACAATAAATAATGCTAATGTAGCGCTTTTTGAATTTTTTGTAAGGATATTGAAATTGTGTAGTAGTTTATTAGAAGGACTTGTTGAAGGACATGTTGAATTCGGGAAGAAATGAGGGCAATTTTAAACAAAGAATGGGAGGGAGATAATTGTTTGTTTTACATTTTAATTTTCCTCACCCTTCACTTTATTAGTGATTTTTAAGAAAATTTCATAGCGTTATATATCTTCAACAGACAGATAAGATAACAAATATAATCTTGCAAATAGACGACATGGGCTGAAAGATGAATTAAACAAAGTCGTGTAAAGTTTGGAGTTCTCTTAATTCACGACTAGAAGAATATTCAATTAGGAATGATTTTACATTTACCAATTATTTGAATTGCTTTACATCTCAAACATGTAAATAAAAATTGAAATGCGACGTCAGCTCTGTATGCCCAAACATATTTTAATGTGGTAATACAACTCCAGTCCAAACAGTCCATACACAGTTTTTCAAAGTGGCAAGTACCGCAAAGAAAATATCTTGAACAAAAGTACGTACTGACACGCTCCAATAATTTTCACTTAAAAGCGACAATAACTCTTAAATTTGAAATTCAACAGTGTTTTTATACAAAGCTTGGCAACTCTGTAGTAAAGCGAGACTGCAAAATCAAAGACTTAGAAAGAGTATGTCAGAATAAACAAAAGATATAAGATATACCATTAGCTTGAGATAGAAAGAGAGGCTTACCTATATGATCCGCAAACTAGTTTTGCCATTGTGTTGTTGACAAACATTTATAAAGTGGCGGATTGCTGAGAAAAATACCCCATACCAACATAGCTATACATGCATACGTGTATATGAACACACATGTAACTGAAATGAAAACGATCATCGCTTAAGGCAAGTGATACCACTCACGTACTCAAAAAAAGAAAAAAACAAAATGTACACATACCCCCTATACTTTTTGGTCGCAAGCTATACTCACGAAACGTAACATAGGTATGAGCGAACGAATAATTATACAGCAAACTGCTAACAGAATAATACATAAAAGATACATTAAAAATGCAGCTACACTTATTCGCACTTACACATTCGTAAAGTATACCTATAATATTAGAGAAAAAACGAAAAACCACTTGAAAGCATACACAAGTTGTTTCGATTTCGTGCAATAGAGACACCTTTCGAATTGTCGTACATAGTTAATGAAAAATTAGGTTTTTCCCTTTCATATATATAAATCGCTGAAGAAAGGGATACTTTAGTGAAACAACTAGAATTATAATTTTTAAAATGAAAATGGGAAAAAGGAAGTTCTATGGAATGAATACCATTTCATTAAAATGGAAAAAACTATGCGTCAGTAAATAACAACTATAAATATGTAATAGTTAGACGAGTAGTATGGGTGCGTTTATATATGTAGAGACGTGCATATCATTACTTTATTTAATTGTATTTTCATATATACGAATGCTTTTGCAAATATACACAAAAACACTGCAAGAATGAAGCTATGCACACACAAATATCTTTAAATATTTATATATATAAAAAACACCTCAAAACGTCTAATGTTATGAATGAGCGCAAAAGAGCAATGCACCATGCATAATGCTATATGGTGATCCTTTTCTAAATGAGAAAAAAAATTTAAGAAAAAAATTACCCTAAACAATTATCGTTGGCAAGTGTCATACTCAAAATTAAAAAATATTTCTAGAAGAGAGAAGGTGAATTATATTGAATAAAGCAAAGAAATAATGCCAGGCATCAATTTCTAAGAAGAAAAAGAAAAAAAGAAAGAAAAGAAAACTTTCATTGCATCTGGCAAATAAAGGATTGCACTAATGCAATATACTCTGAATAACTATTTCAAAAGAATATAAAACTTTCATCAATTTCCATTACACAGGCAAACAGAGTTCAGTTTTATTTTAACAACAAGATGAATTTAGGAAAATAAATAACTCGTCATAAAGAAAACTGATACCGTCATTAGTCAGATAAAAAATCAACCAATAAAGGAAAACGCAACAGAGTAACAAGAGAGAGGTAATTTGTTGTTAACGTCCATCCTAACTTAATTTCATTTCTCAGAAATACTATTTAATAGCTAAAGGGCGAGAAACCAATATATAGATTTTTTTTTTTTTTTTTTTTTGTATATTAAATGAACAATTATTTGCCAGTTCAATAGAGAATCTCATTTCGCAATAAAAGTATCAAACAAAAGTTACCTGTCACTAATGTGTATTTCGAGAGTTAAATACTAATGCGATTAATAAACGTGCGTAGAAGTTAAGATGTGCTCCTGAGCCTAAAAGAAAATTCCTTTGTTCTTTTTTCCTCTTCGCAAATCAGTTGCTCTTCGCTGTAAGTTCAACAGTTTAGCCAGTTGCCCTAATCTACTCTCCATCTTAAAAAAGTATAACTATTTGCGGAAATACAGAAATATTTTTTTAAACTCTCAATAAATAACACCGTAACTGTAAAAGAGAGGAGCACCACCAGGCAGCTATATAGAAAGTCCACGTCTACAACAATAACAACAATAATAATACCAACAAAAACGTCAGTCTCCTCATTTTACTTTTAAGGAACCACCAACAGAATTGCTTCCGTACATTCAGTGAGATTATACTTCCTGATAAAAAGAAAGAAATTTCAATAAACTTTCGATTTTTCTGCATCGCTGTTATCGAATTCTACACATTCACCAAATCTCGGAACAAGAACGGACGCATATTTTAAGGTTTATAAAACGGCGAAACATTGTTACAATAAATATTCCCGTAAAAACCAAAGGATATTTATTTTACGCTCGATTGACAAATCCCGAATACATCCCTTAGAAATATCGTCCGTACATTAGTTAAATTACCATTTACCAATTAGTGAATAAGAGGGGAATTATTGAAGAAAGTAAAGGAAAAACATTTGAAAGAAAAAGTAGAATAAAACAAAAGAAGTTGACGCCGTTGCTTTTGGCTAAGGCGTTATGACAAATTCGATTTCTTCCGCGAAATGCCCGTCTGTCCTAACGTCTGGCAAATATGGAATGTCTCAGCATCGCAGTATTGTCGACAATTCAAAGGAATATATATTCGTTAAACTTACTGATTCAGCGTTTCGAGCCATCGAAGAATATCAACGCAACCTACAGTCGAAAAGACTTGGCCAAGGTCAATGTGCAAAAATACAATTTATCGGCAATGCCGGCGTTATTCACTTTCCGACTGCTGATGGTGGTGGTGGACCGCCAGACGGTCGTAAATTCGGTTTCGCTATTGATGATGTGGAGGGTTCATTGGAATGTATACAACAGACGGGTGCAGAACTTGACGTTTTGGGTGCTCTTAACTATCGTATGCGTATTCATGCCAATGATGATGTATATGATACAACAAGAACGAAAATGGCCATTGCCGAGGAAACGGAGAAGAGTAAATGTATTCGTGAAATTAAACCCAATCAAACGGATATTGGACGTAAGGTAAAGCGGCCTGTCTCGGCTGCTTCCCTGCAAGCCTACGCGAACGGCTTAAATAGTGGTAACAATAATGGCATTAACGGCAGCAGCAGCAGCAACAACAATGTTAGTTATTTAGGTGTCAACAGCCACAGTAATAACAGTAGTAATAGTCGTAATAAATCGCTCAATAACCATTCACCCCCATTCAATGGAAACAGCAGTGGTTCTTCATCTCTTTCCTCGTCAAACGTATCGGCACGATTAGGGTCTGCAGTTAATTCACGCTCGTCACCTAATCCGATTACGATGGGCGGTAGTGGTACAACTGGTAGCAACAATCGTTATGGTAGTCCTTCAAATTTGTCTTCTTCCTCCTCAACCTCTTGTTTGCCTTCTTTAATGACTTCCGCATCATCTTTATCATCTACATTAGCAGGAGGAATTACAACAGGTTACCAATCGGCCTCATGTAGGAACTCTCCGCCGCCTATGGTGGTGGCAAGTCTTCAGAAAAACTCTAAGGGAGGCGGAGGAAATGGTAGCGGGCGAGGTTCTTTATTAGGTGTCAAGAGCTCGTCAAGTAAAGGAAGCGGTTCCTCATCTGGCAACAACAGCAAGTTACCTGATGTTTCGCGGCGGAAGATACGTGAACGTCTAATACATTTATTAGCTCTAAAGCCTTTCAAGAAGCCTGAACTTTATGCTCGCTTGCAAAACGAAGGTCTGGCTCAAAGAGAACGTCAACTTATCACCAATATACTCAAAGACATATCGACTTTGTCTCGTGACAATACTTATAACCTAAGGCGGAGTCTATGGAATGATGTTGACGAGAATTGGCCTTATTTTACAGAGCAAGAGTTACAGCAATTAAAGAGACGTAAACCACAGAACCTTACGCCACCTATGAGTTCAGATGCGGGCAGTTCAACATCGGGTCAAAGCCCCACATCATCAACCCATACGGGCAGCCCACCGCCACTGGTGGCAGGTGGTACTGTTGTCGGATGTGGCCTGAAAAGAGCTAGTCTGGAACCAGATTTATACGATGGGGCCTTATTAAGTGGCGTTCAGCCCAAAAAGCAACGCATTAGCCATTATAAGAAGGATATGTTGGGAGGAGGAGGTTTGACTGCGTCAACTTCTGCAGTAAGAGTGCCTGGCAATACGTACCAACATCAGAGTCGAAATTCGTTGGCTTATTCGCCGCCAAGTTATAATAGTGGGGGAAGTAATGGAAGCATTAGTAATCAGGTACAAACGAATGATGAAAATTCGGGAAATTCTGATTTAACTTTCAATGTCCTTAACAATGTTGATGATTTAATGGCTCATGCCAGTATTGGATATGGTGGAGTAGGAGGGGACCAACAACAATCCATTCAAACACGTAGTAACGGTAGTAGTAAAACCAGTCTTAACAACAAATTTGCGCCGACAACAAAAAGTATCACTAGCGGTAGTTTAAAAGAAAAACGTGGCTCTGCTTGCAATAGCAGTCGGGAGATAACGACCGCAACGGGTATACGTCGTAGTAATAATTCGCCCACGCCATATGCAAATAATTTTGTGCCTGAATCTAAAAGTAATAGCAGTGACGGTAATAGCCGCCCGCACGTCTCACAGCAGCTACTGCATCACAATTTACATAAATCGACCTCAAGCAACAGTGTTTTTGGCCATAATAATAGTCAGCATGAAGAAACTGTTAACAATCGCAGCAGGCACCACTCTTCAGGACGTGATTCTAGTAAACATTCGAAATCTACTTCCGCCCTTCAAGGACAATCACCTCAAAAACAATGTAGTAATAACAACAGCAACAAATATCAGCAAAACAATTATCAGCAACAACAACAACAACAACAGTCTATGATGTTGTCATACACTAATCAGCATCTAGTAGATACGCCACCGCAAGCGCAATGTACTATACTAAATACCCCATTTGTCACTTATCGTCAGCCCCAGCATTCTTCGCCAACGCAACAACAAATTGATGCGGCTGCCGACTCTTTCTCCATGACTACTAACTCTACAACGGATGCTTCGCGTTACGATTTTAGCAATTACACGCCTATCACCAGCATTGAACAGCGCCGCCAATACAAGACTGAATTTGAAAGTGACTATGATGAGTACCGTAAATTGTTGGGACAAGTGGATAGCGTGGCGCAACGCTTCCGAGAGATGGCTGAAAGTTTGAAAAAAGTACGGCAAGGCTGTCAGGACTATTATAAAATAAAAAATCAAATTCTAAACGAGTATCATCGAGTACGCAATGAAGAGGCCATCAATCGCGATAAGCAACGATTTGATTATTTGCATGAGAAATTGGCTCATATTAAGCAATTGGTTATGGATTACGACAAGAAATTAACTAGTGGGGCTATACCCCCACCATCTCATCCATCCCAATCACAAAAAATGATGGTAGCAGCTCAACATGTGGTTGCAGCAAATCCTTCTCAACAAGTTGCAAACGTTCCGGCGCCTGCGCCAATATCAACACAAATACCAACTGGCGACACTGGTACAACTCTCTCGCCTATGTTACAAAATGAAAGTAGTAGTAACCATTCGACACCGTTAGCTACTATAAACAAACAAAAAAGCTTACATCGCACTCATAATCGCCATCATCAGCAACAGCAGCAACAGCAACCACCACCACCACCACCACAACAACAACAACAACAACAACAGCAGCAGCAGCAGCAACAACAACAACAACAGCAACACTGTCAACAACATCATGAACCAGAAACGATACGCATAGACCAGCAATTGTCGCTGCCGACTACTCCCGATCACTACAGAAATGACGGTCAGAATGCTGGCGAACAACAAAATAAACCTACTCAACCATCATCGTATCAACAGCAGCAAAACCACAATGATTCCGATTCTGATAGCGACGATAGTTCATCTTCATCATCATCGAACGATGGCTCTGATGATGATGATGAAGACAATTCTGACGATGATGGCACCGACGATGATGACTCAAATTCCAACTCTAATGACGATGACGAAGATAATGATAACGAACATAATGCATGCTACTGACTTTTCTTGTATAACCTTGATTTATATGTAAAATATTGCACATACAATATATTTTTAAAGTCCCAACCCGTCATGCATAAACATATAAACTCAATTTATCTTTGGGTTCTCTCCTAAGATAAAGCAAAACAAAAAAGTCCTTTCTTTCTGTAGAAAAATTATTTCCCGAAAAGATTGTTTATTATATTAAAGAGAAAGAAATGATATTCAATATATATTGAATGATTGATTGATTGATTGATTAATTAATTGATTAGCAAATCTCTTCTTTGTTCAACATTATAAAATTAAAAAAAAATTTTTTCATTTTTCTTTTTTTTTTTTTTTCAATATCACTTCGAAATTGGTTTTCCATATTTCTCTGTTTGTTGTTGTTGGCTTAACGAAGTAAAAATAAAAGTATTGTCTAAAATTTTTATAATTAAATTTAATTTGAATTTTTTTTTTAAAAAAAGCTCGAGAAACGACTTGTTTTTTTTTTACCCCTCTTGGTGGATTACGCGTATAAAATGTGGGAAACTGACATGTACTCGTATTTCAACCAATTTGTCTTTTGTTGCTACTACAATTTAAAAAAAAAAAAAAAAAAAATTTACCGGGATCGGCTTTAATTTTTTCAATCAATTTTAGCAAGCAAAGCAAGAGTTCTTTAAAAATCCAAACACGGAATTAAGAAACTAAAGAGTATTATTCATTTTATATTTACGAATTATCGTCCGATCAGTCCAAGTTGTATACAATGTAATATAAAATAAAATTAAATTAAATTACGCATTTGTTGTAATTAACATTAAAAGCGTCTCAAGCAAGTTCTCTAATAATAAATGGTGCAAGTCCAAATGATAAATGTAGTATTGGCTCAGTATTATCATAGCACAGTGTATAGTTTTACAAATCTAGCTTTTTATTCGAGGATATGTCAAAAAAAAAAAATGCCTAATATTAAATCCTTGCGTCAGATAGTTACTAACTAACACTAGGCAGGCCGGTCGGTATGAGCGTTTGTGAAAGTAAAAATAATCACGGAATTTGTATATTTTATGTATATTTCTGTATTTGTTTGAACGTGACACGCGTTGCCCCTGGTTCTTTCTAAGAGAATTGTTCGTTCAATTAATTCTACAATTCCGAAAAATTGAATCCTTGATGATAACTAACTTAAGTCTCTGCTGAACGGCTACAGAAAATACAGTAGAGAGACGAATTTCGGATCGAAAATCTTTAGGTAAATTCTCTTCACAACAGCAATGAATGCGCCAAGTGCCGTCCACGCAGACAAATTTTGGAATAATTGGATTTTAAACTTCAATCTTTGGTAAGGAAAAAAGAATTTATTCTTTAAAACAGAAAAAAAAGGGTGTTCACTCCATCATGTTCATAAATACTCAATTTTCATTCCCAAGTGAAGTTTGACTCTAAAATGAAGGAATGAAGAAAAGGTACCCGTTTTTCATCGCCGGAAAATAAATTTTCTACGGCTCTCAATATTAATATGAAACCTCAATTTATCCCTTGCTCCTCCTACATATGCTGTTGTGTTTGCACATCTAATGTGCAGGCAGATAGATTAGGTAGACTTTTTAAGTAGGAAGAACAACACCGAACCATATCATAACTGAACGCGTTTGTGTTGAAGTTGAGTTGTGAGTATGCGTTCTAAGAAAAGCTATATAATCATTTCGATCGATAGAATAAGAAAGAAACAGAGCGCATTTTAACCTAATCGCCCTTATATTTGCACAGGAATAAGATGTGAATGTTAGCAAAATAATTGTTGTAATGCGCTTTGAGTAGCGGAAAGGAAGGTCAAGCATGTTGCGATCTTAATTGTCATTTCAAATTACAAGTCAGTATTATTGTGTAGGGTACCAAAGATATATGCATATTCAGATCTATACAATTTTGTATCAAATAGAGAGCGCGCTAACAACGTTGCTGGAAGGGATTTTCAATTAATAAGGCCAAGGCATCTAACGCATCGCATAGTGATTGATTATTTTGATTCCTACATTTTACGTTTTTATCCCCTCCCAAAAAAAAAAAAAAAAAAAAAAAAAAAATTAATAAAATTATAAAATAAAAATTAAATAATAAATTTTCTGTTTGTCTGAAAATGAAATTTTCTTACAATGTTGTGTTAATTAATAAACTTTCTAAATAATTTCATAAATGTGATGATAGTTTTTTATTCCGTGTTGCTGGTCATTTCAAATAATAGATATTCATACAACCACATTCAAACTAAGCCATTAACACGCGGTTAATAACAATTTGTCGTTGTTATTGCTGTTGTTGTTCATTCTATGAGTAGAGAACCTAGAGCGAGCGATATTTACTATATAGAGGCAATCATCGATAGATAGATAGATAAATACATTCTATATTTGAAAATTGATTATAAGTAAAACAGAATGCAGAGGAAGGGACAGAGGGAGGGAGGCATTGCATGTGAATTGTGGAAAGGTATGTTAAAAAAAAAGTTGTAGAAAAAGAAAAGTTTATTGTCGGCAGCATCAGCAAACCTAGGATATAAAAATTTAATCTCAGAATAAAACTAAACGAAGTCGATCTATATCTTATCCACGCATATTGCCTCAGTCTTGCTGCACGTTTTTCATTAAACAGAAAATTCAATACAATTCGTTCTTCGTCCGCTAATAAATAATGTATGCCAACATTTTTATTCCCGTTTTGCCTTTTTCATTTTCGGAAACGTTTATAGTTAACATTGAACTATTATAACGGTAGTAAAGTTTTCAAGTTGAAAAGACGTTTTGAATTTAATCTTTAGTAGCATTGGTCTTGCACGAGTACACACACAAACACACATATACATCTTCTAATTTTTTCCTTTTGACTTCTTCTCACAATCCTTACGGAAATAGTCGATCTATTAAAGAAAGAAAGCAAAAAAAAAAAATAAATAAAAATAAAAATTAAGAAAAGAAAAGAAATATGATAACTGAAAAGAAAGAAGAAAAAAAAAAAAACTGAATTAGGCGAAACTGTTAAATAAATAGTATTAAGGTAAAACAAGAAGAAGCACTTTATTTGGGAGCATACTAAAAAAATCCTATAAAAAAAGAGAATTTTTTTATATGTAATAAAAATTAAAAATAAAAATACATTTATATACAAAACATACATATATATATATATATATATATATATATATATATATATATATACATATACATTTAAATAAAATAATTATTAATTTGGAAAGATATGCAAAAAAGAAAACAAAAAATGGACCCCCGGCCCTCCCCTCCTTCGCTCGACCGGCACACCCTCAAAACTGAATAGTAAAAAACATATAAAAAATGACAAAAAATGTATTTTTGCTATTATGTGTTATAATTTAGTTTTATAACCTTAATTATCATCCAATTATTATTTTATTTTATTTTTTTTGTTTTTTATTAAAGTTGAAAACTTTGACCCTTTCCGAATATTTGCAAGTCGCAAAGAAAGAATGTAACAAAAAAAAAAAAAGGGATTAAGAAAGCGATGCGTTTTTTTTGCGCTCGAATGTTTGAAATTAGCCTACATAATAAGATGTGTCTTTAAGTGTACGCTAGGCTGTGCCCCCCGCTATGACTATTTCATGCTAAGCAAGCAAGATGTTCTCTTTAGGCTCTGAAAAATTTTTTTTTATTCTTTTTTTTTTTTTTTTGTGTGTGTTAAGGATGGGATTTTTCCAATGCTTGGAAAATATGACTAATAAAATTGATAAAAAAAAAATATTTCAAATTTCTATTCTAAATTAAAATTTTTTATTAATTTCAAGCAAAAAAAAAATGTACTTAGTTTTCTACAATCGTCGGTCTTCAACAAATTAATCAGTCTATCAGTCAGTAAGCAGAAGATGCTGTTATCACTTTTCTACAGCAAAGAAAATTAGAAAAAAAAAAAAAAACTTATTATTTCATGTGTTCGTCCTTGCCTCTACATTGTTATATCATTCGATTCGAATCAGAATCGAATTCGAAGGATGCACTTGCTTATGTATTCATGATTCATTGCGGAGATTAACAAAATTTGTGCATTATATTTGCTAAAAGTGATATGGATGGATGATCGATCTTTATGATGATTTTTTTTTGCCAGATGCTAAACTCACTGGTTATTGAAAAAAATGATGAAAATTTGTATGCTAGGGGTATAAAAGCTTGTTTATAGCATCAGGATCATATATGAGTGAGTGAGTGGGTTAGTAGTAAAGGGAAATTCCACCAAGATTTACAATAAATTAAATGATAGCAAGAATGCTTTTGGAGTTACCCTTGATAGTCAGCGATATTGATTATTTTCTGAGAACCATTTGATGATAAACTATATTTATTGATCGTGTTCTCTTTTGCTCTTAAGTTCAATCAATATTTTGGCACAAAATATTTCACATCATTAATCAATTCTTTTAATTTCGTTTTTTTTACTGCGACTAACTGCTGGTAGCAGATATTTTTTGAAAACTATTTGAAATTTATTAGGAAATCATTTTCCTAAGCCATTTTCTTCTCCCCTTTTTACTTTTAATATCCTTTCTTTCTTTTGTATTTAAACATTTCGCAAAATCAAAAACAAAGCAAACAAAAAAAGAAAAAAAAATCAATAAATAAATCAATAAATAAATAAATAAATAAATAAATAATAATATTTGTCATTTTTTATCCATGTTATATTATACATACTATACATACATAACATTTATATATATTGAGTTTTCATTATTATTATTATTATTATTATTATTGAATTTTTAAGCATTTGTTGCATAGTGTTTTAATTACTATTTTATTACAGAAACTTATCTATTTTTCTTTTAATTTTATTATTATTATTTAATTTTTTTTTTTTTGTTTTTTTTTTTGCTTATTCCATATTAAAAAAGAAAAGAAATACAATTTTGCTCTTATATAAATAAATTTTACGACTATATTAATTAATAATAAAAACTATATAAAATTTATATAAATTGTTAAAAGAAAGGAAAAAATAATAAAAAAAAAAAATCACCCTTGTGCAATTCTTAAGAAATTGAGAAAGAAAAAATCTACATTTCCTATTGAGTTTTATTGTTTCATTTATGCAAAGCACGCCGGCTGCCTTTTTCTCTCTGATATTAAAGCGAATGAACGAGCGATCAAATCTTATTGGTTTCACGATCAGTTGCCTCCTCAAAATGTTCGGATGATTTAATTTGTATCACCCGGAAATATGCCGATAACAAAAAAAAAAAAAAAGAAAGAAAAGAATAGAAAATCGTTAGAACATAAAATTTGATTATAATTTTTATACCCTCTTCACACCGATAAGGAAGGGGGAGGGCAGTGCCGAAATCTTCTTTTTATGTGAATTTCGTAAGGGATGTTAGGAAGAAAGAAAAAAAAAAAAAAAAAACAAAGGAGAAAAACATATTACGACAAGTTTGTCTGACCATCGCTCGAGAACTTACCCCCTCCCACTCCCTCTCTTTCGCCCTTTTATTAATAGGCATGCATCCTATACGATAATTCATATGTTTAGATTTCTTTTGCTGGTGTGAAAGAAGAAGAAGGAGAGAAATTATTATTAATCCCCTTTAAGGA